CTCCATAGGAGGCCATTTTGGAGAAATTTTGGAGTGTCATTTTCATCATCTACTATGGGGTAAGTGGTTTATTCTCATTGTAAGTTAAATACATGGTCTATATATGAATTTAGACATGAAAATTTGTAGAAATTTTGGGATTTGGAAGAAAACCTAGAAATTTATATTTTTGAATTTTGACCACGAATTTGGACATGGAATTGAGAATAAATTATATATTTGACTTGGTAATAATATGGGTAATATTTATCTTCGAATATTTTCGGAATCCGGGCACGTGGGCCTGAGAGTGATTTTACCGACTTTTCGAGCGGAGTTGAAAATTATTATAAAATAATTAATTATGAGTAGTAGAGTATATTTTGATTCGGTTGCATCATATTTGACTACTTTTGGAGCAACGGACTTCAGTTTGAGTTGTTGGAACGGCTTTGGAGCCGGTTATGGAACTTCGGAGCGAGGTAAGTCTCCTTTATAACCTTGTAAGAGTGAATTAACCCCATAGGTGAACCAAGTTATTGTGGAGGCTACGTACGCGTGAGTTGATGAGAGTCCGTACGTAGCTACTAGCTATGCCTATGTTCGGGTAGTTTTAGGCTCACATCTTGCCTTGTTAATATTATTATTAATTTATGTTTATTGTTTGCCTCGAGAGGAAGTGAGATTGAGTTTGCTTATTAAATGTTTTGAAAGGAGTTGAAATTGAAGAACTTGAGATTTAAAAGGTTTCATTTGAACTTCGTAATTTTCAAAAAGGATTGAGAAATGCTATAATAACTTAAGAAATTTATATGTAACCGCGTCGCATGTATGTTTCGCGAGCGGGGTAAGTTCCTTAAAAAAGCGCTACAAGCTGATTTTCCCTTATTTTGAAAAGAATCAAGAAAGAGATATGATTTTTAATGCTAAATTTATATTTGACCGCGTCGCAAGTATGATCCGCGAGCGGGAAGATTCCTTAAATTTATATATGACCACGTCGCACGTATGATTCGCGAGCGGGGTATTTCTTTCTACCACTCTTATGGGATCGGGTCGTTCGCCTCGGCAGGATATGTACCACACTCTCATAGGAGCAGGTTGTTCACCTCGGCCGGTTAATAGATGCATCTATGATTCGCATCGTTCGACTCTCGGCAATGCACAANTTTATTTCATATATTTACTCGGTTTCATATCTATTCACTTCTTTACTGTACCTGATATTAATTATAGCCCATAGTAAGCATCCGAGTCGACCCCTCGTCACTACTTCTTCGAGGTTAGGCGGGATACGTACTGGGTACACGTTGATTTACGTATTCATACTATACTCGCTGCATATTCTGTTGTGCAGGCAGATATATATTATTGGCCTTGTGGGCGCAGCGGCGTGGTTGATACAAGGACTTAGGTGAGCTACATTTGTGTGAGACGATGCGCAGCCAGCAGAGTCTCCTTTAGAATATTTGTATTTTTTCTTTTCTGTCCAAATTTATATTCCGGATAGTTATTGCATTTCATTTTATCTCCTAGTAAATACTCATGCACTTGTGACTCTGGGTTTTGGGATTGATTATGGGCGTTCAGTATTAAAATTGATAAAAATATTATTATTTATTTTGAAAAATCTCATCCTTTACTATTTAATTTGAAGGAAAATATGATTTCAAAAATATTAAAGACGAGGAGCAAATTTAGTATTTAGTGTTGATTTACCCGGCAGTGGTGTCCGGCGCCATTACGGCCTTTGACGGATTTTGGGTCTTGAAATAATAGAACTGCCAACAATGAAAAACCAATAACATTATGTCTTTTCATCCACTTAGAGGTAGTTGTCAGAAGTTTTATGTCCTAACTACTGAAGTGGTACATCAGTGGATATAGTACCAACGTTGTCACTGTATATTACTATTAAAATTAATGTCATCAAAGAACTTTTTATTGTCAAAGCATTTTCTTGATTGCAAAAGTCTCTGGCTATTTTATATTTTAATTGTATTTGACAAAGGATTCCCTGCAGCATATACAATTGTATGCTCTTTAACTCGAAGATGAACAATATGTTGCTGGATTAATTAAATTTGTTGAGTAAAGTTCACTCACAATTTTAATTTACTTGACGCAAGATGAAATTTTCTGGAAATCGGTTCACGCCAGAGATATGTTGCATTTCTTCTTGGCAGAAGAACCTAAACATTAAAGAGAGTTGCTTTATAATACAGTCCATTTGCTATATGAAGTATTTTTGCATAATTGTGCATTAGTGCATTTACTATATGAACTTCTTGGAATAAACGTGTGCATTAGTAAAAGATCCTCAATTTCGCAAGCAATGATTGAGAAATTTTTGTTTTCATGGTCAAACAGTGAAGCCTCTCTCTCTGTCTCTCTATCTACTGGTAAATAGAAGGCTCATGTAACATACCTCAAGCTCATAGTCGACATTTATAGTTTTGGTCTTTGAACAATTTACAGTTGAGGAGTTCTTATTTCTTTCAAGTCTATGCAGCATGATCATAATAAAGAAAGACTAAATTTGGTGCCAAGAGTAATATAGGAGGATAAATGTGTAGAGAGTTGAGTTGAACTTGAACCCCAAGTTGTCAACGTAATCACAAGGATACATTTATAATGCATTGTGGGATTGTTTGTTTAGAAATCAGTAAAATAATGTGAAAGTCTTGGAGTATGCTTCTATTGTTTTTTGATGCTTTGTTTCAAAGATTAACTATATCAATTACATTTTATTTGACCTGCATTTATGTGCTTCAACAGTTTTAGAATACCATATCCTATAGTTTTAGAATTTGAATCTAGAACTATGATTTTTGTTGTTTGCTGAGTGGCAGAATAATTAGTAGTAGCTTTTTCTAGATCACATGGAAAACTTCTACTACTTAAAATTTAGTCAAAATAGCATGGGCTAACCAGTTTTCGGACTGGTAATTGAAAAATAGCCACTATTTTGCTGTAACACGGAAAGTTCCAGCATAATATACTGGAGATTGGAGCACCTGTATATGAACTTCCAGCATATTATGTTGGAACTCCAGTACACGGAAAGTTCCAGCATAATATACTAGAGATTGGAGCATCTGTGTATGGACTTCCAGCATATTATGTTGGAACTCCAACACATTATAAAATTCCAGCATGTTATGCTGGAAGTTCACATGTAAAAAATTCGAACTCCAGCATAATATGCAGGAATATTTTTCGAATTTTGAACAGGGTTTTAATTCAGATTTATCTTTTACATGAAAAGTGGCTAAATTTCGATTACTTTTGAAATTATGGTTATTTTTCAATTACCACTTATAAATCTGACTATTTTTTAATTTCTCCCTAAAATCTATGCTCACTATATCAGTGCATTGCTATTATCTCAATATTCAGTTGCATATATTTTGTATGGTATTGTTAGTCCTGCTCATTCAAATTTTCTATATCTGTTGTTACATTAAATCTTGAACTTTGATTAATTGCATTTCTTTTTCAGTTTCATTTCGTGACAAAATCCTAATGTTGGCACTACCGGAGAAAGTTGGCTCTTCTTCCCAGATGCCTTTGTTTGCACTTTCTTATTATATTCTTCTAGCAAACTTGGTTCTACACATAAACTTATGAAATCAAAAGTAGTTTAAAGTAGTTGATTTTATCGTGAAAGAAATACTGGCATTGGGCACCCGTCCATAGCACGGGCACACTCATCTAGTATGTACGTAATTAGTTCCTTTACTACCACAAACCTTTATTTGGTGCACCATGGCTTTGTTTTATTAAGTATATACGGATAATATTGGTATAATCTGTGAGAATTGTGTGTAACACAATACAGTTTTTGGGAATGAGCATGAGTTCCGTGACCCTAAAGCATAAATATGGATCCGCCCCTGATTCTAAATAGCCATAACTAGTGAATAAACAATAAATCCTACTAAACCTCCGTCGCTCCTCACCGCATCCGTATATGTCTAAATACACATCACCCCTATTGCCATCCCGAAATGGATCAGTTGCCATACATAGGGATGGCAATGGGGCGGTGGGGTGCGGGGCGGGGCGGGACGGTTGACTTTTTAAAAAAAAAAAATATTTACGGTTGCGTGGCAGTGCGGGTTCAAATCCTGACACAAAATTAAGAAAGAGATGAATCTATACTACACAAATCTATGGTTGTATTGGTGAAAAATCCTATTGGTGAGTATTTTAAAATCCAAACCCCCTCCCCTCGAACACACCCCACCCCACCCCCACCCCAGAAGAAACAAAAAGATACTTTGACAATGAAACAAGGAAACGCCAACAATTTTCTTCTAAAAAAGGTTCTTCTGATTTGTTTCATCTTTGTAATTCATCTACATTAATTATTTTCTGTTTTTTTTTTTTTGGGTTAAACTCCTAATAGCTCAAAAGCATATTCTTCAGTAAGACACAACTGAAGCAACCAAAATGTCTCTAGTCTTAAATGTAACCCAGATTTGAAATCCCTAAAAAAACATTCCATTTGAAAATTACCAAAGAAAAAGGAAAATTAATAAGTTTAATGAAAGTAAATATAATTAACTAAGTTAAAAAGCTTGAGCAGAAATTTCAAAGTAGAAAAAAAATAGCGGGGCGGGGTGGGACGGTGAATGCGGGTATAGTTGCGGGGCGGATGAATGCCGGTGAACATGCTATGCGGGGCGGGTTGAAATTTTCTGGGTTAAAACAGAACCCACCCCGCACCCGCCCATTGCCATCCCTAGCCAAAGCTTTAACGGTGGCAAATAATAAAATAAGGAAAGGGATAGTAGTGTTATCTGAATTTTGGGGCCTATAATAAAATATGGAAAGGGATAGTAGCTTTGGTCCTGCGCATTTGCTTATTATTTCAATATTTGCGGAGTTGGATATTGTTATCTCAATAGGTATTTTGTTTAATCGAGGAGATCATTTTGGATCAGTGTTATCTATAAATATTTTAAGTTCATGTATAATGATTTCTTAATAAGCACACAAGGTGTAACATGTAATGATTTGAGGCACAAAAAGCAAAATATCAAGATTCTTATGCATGTAAAATTGACCTGTAACAAACACTGACCAATAGGCTATAAAATAAGACATATTAAACTTAGTTCAGTACCAGCACCAAATTTAAACCGAAACATGTGCTCTAAAGAGAAAAAAGAAAACACTATAGAATGCAAAATGGTGAAACTGTAGTAAAAGAGAGATTATATTTAAGCAGAGGCTTTGAGCTTCTTAGCGATGTTGGCAATGTATTTCCCCTGATGAAAAGCTTGTTCCAATTCAATCTCTGTTGGCTGTCTTGAGCCATCGCCAGCAAAAGTTCCAGCACCATACGGACTTCCACCTTTGATTTTCTCCATCTCGAACATACCTCCTCCAAATGTATAGCCAATTGGAACGAAGATCATTCCGTGGTGAACAAGTTGTGTAATGGCTGTCAACCTGCAAACATACGTCACTTTCATCGAGAGGAGAGTTGCAGTAATGTACTTGAATTGTGTTTTGTTAATACGATCCAAATAACACTTTTCTTAATATAATGTAACAATAATTCGTTCATTTCTTTAATTTTCACGAGTTATTTAGGGAGAGTAAAAGGGACTAACGCGGTAGTCTCTTGGCCACCTCCTTGAGAACCAGTGCTATAGAAAATGCCAGCAGGTTTGCCAGCAAGTTGTTGAGTTTTCCAAAGACCACCAGTTGCATCAAGAAAAGCCTTAAATTGAGCAGGCATCATTCCAAATCTAGTTGGAAAACCAAATATAAAGCCATCTGCCTCAGCAAGTTCATCTGGTGTTATGATTGGTGTATCACCTTTCCCAGGTGCACTCATTTTTGCAAGCACATCTTCAGATAGAGTTTCTGGCACCTGTTCCATTCATATATTAACTGGCACATAAGATTATATAAAGAGAATAATTTAAGTTATATGTACTGACAGTATAAAGTGACCTGCTAGTTACAGGTCAGTTTAATATGATAGTATACAAATCTATGCATCGTTAGTGCACATAAACAGAACAGGAAAATGGTGTGATAGGCATTCAGAAAAAAGGTAAAAATTTCAAGTCATAAGTGATTTGTCATTGACAGATCAACCTATCATTAACAAATTTAAGTTTTATGTACTGACAACGAACTGGATGTAGCAAGTTATTACTCTATTTTCAAGTTACCTTATAATATTATAGATCAACTTAATCTATATACAAAACGGCAAAAACAATGGTGTGAGAGGCATTTAGAAATAATGGTGTAACGGACCTGCCAAAGCTTAGCTTCAACACCTTCAACTGATGCAGCACCTTTCTTAATCTCTTGTGCCAGCTTCTCAACATGCCCATACATTGAATAGTAACTGCCAAAATTTAAATAAACATGTTCATTAGTTTTAAAATTCAAGATTAAAAATTAAATGAAGAAATTACCTCGACCAATTCAAGCACAATTTTAGAAGTCTATTAGACTACAAAGAGTGTACAATTAGGCACCAGAACTTTGACTATTAATCCAGTACAAATCAAAAACAAATTTGAAGAAGATGTGGATATGCAGAGAGAACAAAAAGCAACACACACACTGAAACAGAAAAAGAGGAAAACATACACAATGTAGACTTTGGTTGCCATTGTAAAATCTTGTGTTTTTTTAGTTCTATGTATGTTTTATACAGAGAGGGGGGGATAGAGAATTAGAGAGTTGGCTAAGGCCACTCTGCTTATATAGTGGGGAGCCAATGGCCATGTAGTTGACCATCTCATTCTTCTCTGTCAGAGACTTACCCAAAAAAAAAAATATCTGATTCATAGAAAGAAAATAGAAATAAATTAAATAGACCTCTCAGGTCTCATCTAGAATTAACTAAGGATAATTACGTCACCTGAATGGCCATTTTATAATTATTTATCCTAAATAGGTTGTTGATATCATGCTGAAATCATCTTTAACGTCATAATTATACTTCTTCTTTTTTAATTTATTGATGGAAAAAGAAAAAGAAATGTTAGGGGGTAAATTGTGAACAAAGAAAAATTGTACGTACTGCTGGTGTTGATGCATTTTGGCTCTTCTTACATTGGTAAACAACTAAAAATTATAAGAATATGCCATAATCTTTTTCTCTTTCCAATTTAGTGAAGGTTCATTCCTATTTAAAGTTTCTGCTAATAAGTTATGGCAAAAAAGTAAATAAATGTTATACTATATCAGATTGTAGCATCCCTGAACATGGTGCTTATTGGTTTGTAACGTTCACTTCACGATTTCACGATATATATATATACTACTAAAAAATAGGAATTAGCGACGGACAAATTCTGTAGCTAACTAGCAAAATTCATTGTTAATAGCAACAAATTAACAATAGATTATCATAAAATTCTGTTAGCTATGATCAATTTAGCGATAAATTAATGACGAAGTTCGTAACTAATTTCTATACATACATATATTACCCTCGAAATGAGAAGTATAACATTCATATCTAAACATTCTTTATTTTACATTTATCGAAATTAATATTGATGTAAAAAGCTGTAGGTGGCACGATTATTAAGACACTTCTTCTTCACTTTTCATTTTTTCATTTTTATCGTGTAAAATAAACGTAAGGGTTTGACTAAGTTGGTTGGGTGAGTGATTTTACACATGTGAGACCTGTAATCAGTTCTCATCACCAGTAGCATCCTTAATCAGAGTTCGTCGCACCGGGCGTGCCTAGTGCCGTGCGATTTACATCTCATGTGTGATTTGCGAGCTATTACATAGTGAACAGGTTACCCAATATGCATTCAAGAGTAGCGGCTATTTCCCCGGAAATGTTTTAAAAAATAATAATAAATAAACGCAAGGATGACGAAAATATTACTCATATCCTTTGTCCAGCGAAATTGAGAAAGAAGTAGAGGGATTAAAAACTGGATGCATTTGAAATTAAGGAGCCCTTTATTGTGGTTGGTGAGGCAGTGTGAATAGAATAAATGAATAACTAACAAAATTAATGAAAAGGTCTTAATTAATTATCCACGAAGAGGAGAGACGTAACACACATGCATGTATACAAATATGGCTGCTCCTCCACTGCTTTGAAGATGACTTCTCAAATCTAAGTTCCTCATGTTACAATATTTACGTACTTCATGCATCATCATGACGCCTATTTTGTGTTAAATGATATGTTCTTTGTTTAATCAAAAAATAGTTTTTGTGATCAAATCAAATAAAAGAATAATTCAGATTTTAAACAATCAATTTTACTTCACTTTTTTAAATATAAAAGAATAACAATAATAAAAAATAAAACAGAGAGAATAAATAGAAATCCTTATTGATCATGGCGGTTTTCTTCCAATAGGAAAGAACGAGATCTTCCGATGACAGAGAATAACAAGAATATTGAAAATTGATAGTTTAATTTCATAGTTTTCTTGATGGGGATACAAGATATGGAAATGGGATTTATATAATGGTATAATTTATAATCGCTTGCCCTATTTAGTTCCTACCCGTTATTGATAGTTATTCTATTAATTATCAATTACGTGGGTGATTTGTAACAGTTGATTTAATAATAGCCAATCGCGCACAATCAGGGATTCTGCTGATTTCTTTCCATATTCTTGACTATTAATGATCTTTCCATCTTTGTGGCTTCCTATGACCTTAATTATCAGCCCGTACCTATTTAGCTAACATGCATGGTATCTTCATAAACGATCCCGTGAGAATTGCTCATATCTTCTTTGCACATCAGTCTTCTTTATCGCTTCGACTCCCATGACATCTGTCATCATAATATTGGTCCACATTGTGAGTTTATTTTTCATCAATACATTATTCTCTCACCATGCCACGTACCATATAGGAGTGGGGCGGATGAAATGGGGGTTAGCATCTGGAGTCTTGTGTGACAATAAATTGGCACCGAAACTCAAAGGCAGGTTCTGTAGAGTTGTGGTTAGACCCGCCATGCTGTATGGGGCTGAGTATTGGGCAACCAAGAATTCTCATACCCAAAAGATGAAAGTGCCAGAAATGAGGATGTTGAGATAAATGTGCGGGCACACTAGGCTAGATAAGATTAGGAATGAAGATATTCGGGAGAAGGTGGGCGTAGCTCCCATGGACGACAAGATGCGGGAAGCGAGACTTAGATAGTTCGCTATCGTGCGGAGAAGCATAGATGCCCCGGTTAGGAGATGTGAGCGGTTGACATTGGCAGGTACGAGAAGAGGCAGAGGGAGGCCTAAGAAGTATTAGGGTGAGGTGATCAGGCAGAACATGGCGCGACTTCAGATCTCCGAGGACATGGCTCTGGATAGGAAGTTGTGGAGGTCGAGCATTAGGGTGGTAGGTTTGGAGGGAGTCGAGCGTTTTTCTATGTTGTTCCGGGGGCTGGGCTGGGCTGATAATGTTTCGATGTGGGTTCTTAGTGGTTTATGTAGTTTCCTCACTATTTTCTATGGTATTATTGCTACTTATTGTTATTGCTTTTACATCTATTTTCTGTTTCTTACGATGCCGATACTATTTTTCTGGCGTCTATTATTGTCATTGATCTATTATCTATTGTCTATTGTTTATTTTCTTTTTCTTGAGCCAATGGTCTTTCGGAAACAACCTCTCTACCCCTCCGGGGTGAGGTAACGTCTACGTACACTTTACCCTCCCGAAACCTCACTTGTAAAATTTTACTGGGTTGTTGTTGTTGTACGTTATTCTCTCACCACAAGGCAATCTTATTTTAAAAGCTAACTTCACTAAATTTGACGACTTTTATTTAGTGGATATTTAAACTTTAAGTTGACTTAATTACGCCCCGAATAAGACGTTTCACTATTCTCGCAGAAAATTGCACCGGTTGTTCCAAGGGACATGTCTTTAAATATTATTTTTATTTTTTACTTTGTTACGTTACTATGCTTCTTTTTCACTAAGAACAACATAGTTCTTATATTGGAAGCTTAAAATTCTTATTTTGGGGGTAAAAACTGGAAGTTAATGATTGATTATTGTCAAAATTGTTTGAATGTTGATAATTTGTGCTTAAATATTTAGTTCAAATACTAATTTAGTGAATTCCTTTAACTTTAATTTTTGTCCGTAGAAAGTGTTGAAGAAGACAAAGTGGTTCTTCTGATTTGGTGTTGTTTAACTAAATTAGTGATTGACAATCATCTGTGTTGGTATTTGGAGGGTTTATTTAAATTTGAGATCATTTGAAATGGGTATGGAGTGATTTGATCGAAATTAAAATTACAATTTCGAAGAACACTTTGTTGAACAACACATACGAATTATGCCAATTAAGTAGACTTTCATGAATAATCTAACAAAATCATGCCAAATGTTTAATGAAATCACTATTTCTTAAACATTCTAATCACGTTGTTTTTACAAGCTTTTCATTCTGTTTTACCTCTTAGGACCCGTTTGGCCATAGATTTTGCCAAAATAAATTTGGATTTTATTTGGCAAATACATGTTTGGCCATAGATTTTGCCTATATTTTGGCAAAATCCCAAATCACAAATTTCAAATCCCAAAACCAGCTCAATAGCTAGTTTTGGGCCAAAATATCACTATTACATTTTTTAAAAATTGTCCCAAACTTTTATATTTTATAAAAGAGCCCACCATTTATTATTTTGATACAAAATTATCATTTTTATAATAAACTACATGATAGTGTATCATGTAGTTTATTATAAAAATGATAATTTTGTACCAAATTTATTTATGTTTAGGACTATAGTTTGCGATAATATAATGAATATTATTGATAATGGTATTGTTGGGTATTTGTGATAGTTTTTAGAACTTGTGGGTATAAGTCATGTTTCATATTTTTCCAAAATAAATTTGGGAAATATGTTTTGAAAACTGATGTCCAAACACATTTTCATCTTCAAATCAAACTTCACCCAAATCAATTTTTTCAAAATAATTTTAGGAATCTATGGCCAAACGCTAGCTTAGTTGGAATCATTATATACAATGCCTGACAAATTCAAAAATAAATTAGTCTTACTCCTTGTAACGTTTCGTCAGCCAAAATAATTTTTTTCCTAGCTCCTAAAAACATCTTAAGTAACGATTACGATTAACAACAAAATATTATTAGTTTAATGAGGTCAGAAAATCCGTAGCAAATAAGGGTGTTTGGTATAAAGATGTTTTCCACGAAAATTATTTTCCTAAAAAATAAGTGATTTTTTTATTTATTTTAAGGTATTTAACTGTAAGTAGAATCCCGAGAGCATTTTTATATATAATCAAGAAAAATACTATGGGAGACGAGATAAGTGGGGGCTGGGTGGTAGGTCTATAAGGGGTTCGTCATGGTCAGGGTTGGGGTAGAGGGTCAGGACTNGGGAGGTGTGGGGTGATGGGACTGGATTGGAGGGGGAAGTAAGGACGACGATGGTCTAAAAAGAGTTTTGAAATATATTTTCCTTACTTATGAAAAGTTATTTTCTTTAAATTGAAGGAAAATGAGTTCACATGAAAAATATTTTCTTAAACATGGAAAAATTCAAAACATTTTCTGGACACATGCCCTAAATCCAATTATGCTAGTATATTGTACTGATGTTTGTTACGAGAGTATACTATTTATCAATGTTACTTTTCCCTTTTCATATTTATAGTGAGCAAAGTTTGTGTATTTGAGATTTCGATCTAGA